AGATGCATGCAATGTCCTATTCCTATATAAATGATTTTTAATTAGTTGTAAAACATATAGGCTGATAAATTTGGCTTCACGCTTTTTTTTTTATAATACTGTTAATTTCATTAAAATATTTTTGTAAAAACTTGCAACGTTTTTGTTTTGCCAGCCTAGAGACACAATCTTGACAAACAAACAAAAAAACAAGATGGGGCCTTACAAATCAAACCAATGTTCATCTTGCTAACTATGAATTATACAGCCAAAGTTGCATTAGATCAACAAAACCTTTTTGTTTTCGCTTGGCGAGAATGCTATTACGGATCGATCGAGCTATTCTTTCGCATACAGATTTTGACGGGGTGGAGATGACGCGAGTATGTGCTTGCCAACATCATAGTGGAATATTAGTTGAGCTACTGTACATAATGAGTCCTTGTCTAGTGTAGTCACTACTATCACATGTATTTAAGTTGCTCGATGTGCCTCGGAAACGGGTGTTGAGTATTAGATATAGTCGGTTAAGTAGTTTGTTGTATATAGTTTGTTAGTCAACAGATTGTATAGTTGACTGTATACAATACCTGTATATATATTGAATACATGTATAGATTAACATAATTAATGAGAATTAGAAATTAAATTCTTCTGAGTTTAATATTGAGCTTTGTTTAGGTACTCGCCGACTCTTGATCTCGTTTGGTTAGTTCGTGCTTCCGGATGAACGTGTTTCCTCATGTATCGTGTGCATCCCATTGACCTTTCTTGTTTCTCCCCTACTCTAGCTTACATATTGCATCTTCGCACAGCGATTTTAGGATTATAATCTTTACTTTCTCAAGATTTTTTGTGAAGAGTCATGAATGCATCGCACTTGTTTTCACAAACATTTGTTACCCTAAACTTTCATTTTCATAAATGATATTTACAAGATTTTTATTGTTAGAAACTTAAGATCTTGTGTTTATAGACTTGCACTTATTAGCTCTTGTTTTGGAGCAACAAGACGACTCTAGTGATGTCTCCAGATTTAGTACAGCTTTTTTGGTCTTTTTCTCTTGAAATTTAAATTTACCAACACTGTTGGTTGCATAAAAAAAAATTATATTCTCTCCGTTTCAAAATATAAGATGTTTTGGAGGTTTTTTTTTGTTTCAAAATATAAGATGTTTTGACAATCCTATATACTTTTTAACTTTATTGAATATTGTGTGACCACTAGTATTTTACAGTCTTTTTACGATTGGTTAAATTATTTTTGTTATATATATTAAATAATATTTTTTAGAAGAAAAGTAGTTTTTTAAACTCCGCGTTTTTATTCAAAACATCTTATATTTTGAAACGGAGGGAGTACTATTTTTTAGTATATATGAAAATTTTAGGCGTAAACAGAATTAACACATGCAATAAATTTTCAAAGAGCAGAATTCAATATTACTAAATTTATGTGAAAAGAAAAATAATACCATTGAAATGAAAAGTATAAACAAGAATATACGATTTTTTTTATTTTTTTAGACAAAGCAAGCTTGGCTAGTGAGGTCGACGTGCATGGTGGAAGATTTTAAAATGTGAAAAACATAGGCTACTTTTTCAACAGGGGTATTCTCGTCATTTTAAAGACATTTCCGACATATTCTCCGTTATACCCTTGCGTATGATTGGATTCTTTCTTGCCCCACCGTAACCGACCGAAACCAGACGTTGGGTGTCAAAAGGGCAAAATTGGAAACATTTCCCCTATAAATTGCTGCCTCTCTTCTTCTTCCTCGTCGTTGAAACTCGAACAATTTCTTCACTGTAGAGGTAATGCAGA